ATTAAAGTTTTTATCAAAGTATAGTCTATTCAGTTTGTAGAATAATCACTTGTTACTCATGTTTATGAACTTATTCTGCAGGTTTCTCAGCTGCTTTGTTCCTATATGAGGTGTTAAGGCTTGTTTCTAGTCACGCTTTKGGTAGTTGCGGAGGGCGCGCGTGCACCCTTGCCAGCAGTGGAGGTGTTTATACTGTTTATACTACTTATTTCGGAGCTTACGTTGTTGTAGGTTTCTCCAAAAGGACACGTGGAAGTACACTTTATAACTCGTGAAATGTTGTAAATAGGAGAGCAAAGGCGTGACGAACAAACAAGCTGTTTGAATGGTGCGCGGTGCGCGCAGCCTTTGCGGAGTTTCAAAATTTCGGAGGTGCACGCCCACGCGCCGGGACACTGCACGGGGCCAACGCGCAGAGGCAGGGACGGCGTGATTGCGTCACTTTTGGCGCACGCCCCCACGCGCCCGGTGCGACGCGTCAACTGTAAACCAGGCTTCATATGGCGCAGAGGATGTTTCTTGATGAAAGTGTTGCAGTCAAGACCAACTACTGGTGCAAAACTAAATAAGGATAATGCTGAGTTCACACCAAATGTGTTTTGAGCAGCAGGAGCGGCCGGTTTACACGCAAAGTCTATGGTGGACGCGCGTCCAGAGGTCTCGCAGCACATCTAGAGTGTTTAGTACACCACGGTGTGAAGCAGTTGGTGCGGTTTGAGCGATTTCCGTGTATGCAGCGCGTCCAAAGCAACCGACACTCGAGTTCAAAAATCTGAACTTTTGCTGCTCGACGTGCCGCGTCAACCAATCGGAGAGAATTATTTTTCCACGTGACGGTTTCCTGAATGTTGCCCACTAACCTGAAACAGACGGACAGGAGCTCTTTAGYTGAAAYCGACCRTCTKYAGTTGGTGTTCTGGCTGGAGATACCAGCACCGATGAGGGTCAGCGGCTTGTTAAACTGACCGCTGTGTTAAACTGGGCTCGGGACAAAAACAGTTCATCAGCTCGCAGCTCCTGGAGTGAMWTCAACGAACAGACCGCCTCTAAATTATCTGGTGAATTAATTATCTGGTGCGCGCAACATTTGCTTGCTTTTAGTAAATAAAGCAAAGCCATTTTCTTTATTTCATCTTTATTTCATCCACYGTTAAAGACAGACCGGAAAAACYTCCTACAAAACCGTYTTCTGATGTCTACTCTTGTTCCAGTCTAAACGCTCAAAATGCATTCTGTTTGAACGAAGCATAATGGAAGTTTCAGTTATGATCKCAGTTAAAGTTYAGGTTWAAGTCTGGTTTTCAGWGTTCTATCTTCATAAAATACTGATTTTATGTTGTTTTATTAATCCCAAGAATTAAGTAAGATTCTATTCAAATGGCTGTCAAATGTATAGATTTGAGTAGATGTTTTACTAAATTTTCTGACGGATTATACCCCCTGGAGCCCCCTAGAGCTGCTTCAGTCCACAGCTGCTCGTCAACATGAGTGTTGGCAGGTATGAGATAGAATTCTGGTATTCTGTTTCAAATTAATAATATTAACTATTTTAATTGGACGACCTGGCTTCTAAAGATAATAAATAATATCAAAGACAAAACTATTTAATTTGGTAAGTGAGTGTGTGTAAATTGGCAGTGAGATTTTAAAAAACTACACAAGGGGCAACCACCTGAAATCTCAAGGTGCCAAACTGGCTAGGGCTGGCCCTGCTCATATGATACAAAGTAAAGATGTTTTCTGAAATCAAAATACATGAAAAAAAAATCCTAAAAGCTTTTTATGCAGTTTGCAGCCACCTGTAAAACACTCCAACTCTACATTCCACATCCAGTTCATGTCAAAGCTGATTCCAACCAGCGACTCCCCCTCATTCCTAAATAGTTCTTGTTAGTTCTTCAACAACAAACTATTGCTCACATTCATGTATCCCATGCTTGCTGTGCACCAAACAGACCAACCCACTCTCACTCCCAAGYCGTCACATATTGACGTTTTTCCAAGGYTCCTTCTGCGTCCGGTTTTGATGCATCAGRTACRCCCCTCGCGTCAATTTTTGACRARATGGGGCGGAATTCGTTGTCATAATTTCAGAAAGTGTAGTAAATGCACAAATCTAACCGTCCCAAAGCCTAAAATTACCTTTATTCACTCTAGACTTCCTGTCCCTGACCCTAGTACCTAAAMATAACCATCAACCCTCATCCCGAAAATTAACCATTTTTAAGTTTAGGAAATTCTTGTCAATTACGTGTCCCAAACCCTAAGATTACCTAATATTCACCCTAGACRTCCTATCCCTGACCCCACCACCTAAAATTAACCATGAACCCTGATCCCTAATRTTAACCACGGACCCCAAGTCAAAGATCCCTTTTGCTTCCCAACGTGTCAAACCTGAACACCGAGGGRACCCAGAAATGCCTGGTGCATCAAAAACTGACGCGACGGTGTAAATAAGATGCAGAGGGAACCTTGGAAAAACGTCAATAAGTGACGAGTCGTGAATGAGAATGTGTTAAACAGACATGCTACAGAAGCAGCTAACAACAAAATAAAGAGAACAATCTACATCTGGGGTGTCTAATCCAGGTCCTGGAGGGCTGCTTTCCTCATGTTTTACTTGTTTCTCTGCTCCAACACACCTGATTCAGTGACTGCATTGCCTCTTCAAGTTCTGCAGAAGCCCGTTAGCAGAGAAACTTTTAAAACATGCAGGGCATGCCGTCAAGGACCAAAGCTGGACGCCCCTGGTCTAAATCTTTCTTTACTGCATTTACCACAATCCTATTCATATAAAAACCTCTATGAGAGAAAGACACAAACATCCTGGTCTCTAGCAGGACTGGTCAGACCAAAACCAAGCTGGAGCTGGACTAAAGGCAGCGGAGGCTCTTACGTGTTCTCCCTGATTGGCGTCTAAGTCACCGTTACAGACGGCAGAGGGTGTCTCAGCTTCCTGTGTGGACACCAGTTACTGAACATGACTAACTGCTGGGTGAAACGATGGAGAAGTTTTATAAAACATATTTGAGTTCCTTTAATAAAGAAATCTGTTGAATTAACAGTAAAATGACAAACTTTCTGTGAGGTGCAGCTTTCCTGCAACAATCGAACACAGGTTGGCGAAAGATGCTAAATTAATTTCAGTCCAAGCAGACAATAAAATCATAATATATTAAATTGCAACATGACGTTCAGTCATTACCTGCATAAAACTGTTGATTTCAATATTTTCTGTCTTAATTAATTGCAAGATTTTTGCAAAAACAGTGAGATTGTCTCTCCTGTACCTGCTCCACCTCTCCCTGGGTGATGGGCTGCGTMTGAAAGCGGGAGTTGGCTCTGCGCTGCCGGGTGTCCCCTCGGGACCCCTCGGCAGGTTTGGCTGAGGGGTGGGCGAGGCGGTTGAACAGGGCCATCTTCTCAGACAAACTGAGCAAGGAAATGTCCGGCTCGTCCGGGACAGGGTCCTGACCGTCGCTGTGTCCCCCAGCACTGAGAGCTGGACCTGCCTTCTGGTGCTCCGAGGCGTCTGCCTTGTGTTCTTGGACAGTTGAGCCTGCCTGAGAGGAGGCCTGTGCGCTGCAGAGGGAAGGACAGGTTAATCTTTAATTTGTCTGAACATTAAACGTATTTGTTTCAGCTACTCTTTGCAACATGTGGTGTTCTTTTACTGAATCAAAATGGCCCAGAAATTAAATAATCTAATGCTATATTTCAAACACAAGTATTATTTAGGGGAGAAAACCCTGTTTTGTGTTTGATTTTTGTATGCTTTCTGCAATCTATCTACTTCTTCTATTACTTTACAGTATTTCCTTACTTTACTTTTAGCTTTTAGCTAGTGCTTTGCAACTTAGCACATTGTTCTGTTAAGCTGTTCTGTGTTTTTAGTCTTAAGATTTTAGCTTCTTCAAAAGTCATTTAGCAGTCACACTGCATTTTGCAGAAAATGCAATTCCTTGAGTTTCTAATAAGATCTTCTAAATGTCAAAGTAGGAAACATGTTGCAAACACCTGACTGTAACAAATTACAGGCACAGCAGCAGAGATACAGTATAAGCAGATCAGCATGCAGACTGTGTGGCAGATTAACATATGAAGCACTTGCGGGGGTTATAGTAATCTTCCTGCAGCGTGCAAAATAAAAACAAAGACACAAGAACATGCAGGGGGCTTTAAGTGGACATATGATGCTTTAAATTCTTCTTTTTCAAATTTAATCCTTCAATTGGGTATATATAAAGTGGAACTGCAATGCCTCGGCCTGAATTCCTCCTTACTGCAGCCGGTTCGGATGTTATCAGTCCATTAAATGGACGTTATTAGCGGTTATCAGTCCCATAGAATGGCTTCAGACTGTCCTGACAGTGCCCCCTAGTGGGTTACCAGTGCCATATACATTGGAATGCAACAATCTGCTACCGCCGGAGTCCGATCTACTTTTTTCGTAGCCCATGTCATTTTCTCTAAAACTAACCTTAGTGGCTTTATGCCTCATACTAACCAGCTGACAGTCTGAAGCCATTCTATGGGACTGATAATGGCTATTAACGTCCATTTAATGGATGATAACATCCGAAGCGGGTGCTTATTGTAATGCCACAAGCCCCGCCCCTTTTCTGAGGCGTGTCTCAGATCAACTTGTTTTGGTTCTCATGATGAGGAACACATCAAAAAGCGGCCCACCTGGTCACACTGGTGCTGGCAGCTGTGGGGATGCTGACTGGATCCACGGTAACACCCTCAGCTTGTGAGGATGTGGTGGGATCGCTTCAAAATGAAGAGAACAAAAATAAAATCATACAACGGTCAGAAAATGGTGAGCTAACTCCAGTTATCAATTCAAAACACAACATTCACCTTGAAGCACAGACCACCTCTCTGTTGGTGACGGGCTGTGTGTGCGCTCGGTCCTGCACTCTTTTCAGACGTCGCTCTATGGCGGCATTACGAGAGCGAGGTTTGGGAACGCCACCTTCTGATGTTTTTTCCAACTCCTAGAATTAAAAAAAAATGCATCAGAAAAAAAGAAACAAAAATGCACTTTTTATTTGAAATTTAATGTTCAGATAAAGATAAAGGTACATAGAGTAAAATATAAAATCTACCCTGAAGAGAGACCTCTTTGCAGCCACACTCATTTTGGCTTTTTCATCCAGTTTTTCTTCATCTGCTGGGAAATACCGACAACATTACAAACTATTTTGTTCTATACTACATGTTCTGGCTTTCGTTTCAAAACTGCGAGCAAATAATCATCCCCCTCCTAACTTTTTCTTTACAAGCAAGTCAGGTATGAAAAACGGTTAAACCCGGTGACTTCACTCCTTTACAGGTTTTCTGCACCAATAGTGGCACTACATAGCAAATGCATGAAGTCAAACTTAAAGGATCTGTTTATAAACTAATATTAAAAGCTTCATTTTAGACTTGTTGCACATTTGAGATGACTGAGGTACCCTTACCTTCAGCATCTTGTAGTTGTGGTGGGCTTAACCGTGACCTGAGGGAAACAACATCAAGCTTCAGGACCAGAATTCTTGGGTGGAGAAACTACATTACTGTCTTCATAAATCAGCACAGTTTACCTGTCYGACTCCAAACGCTCTGCAGAAGTGATGGGCTGAGTCCTGAACCTCTCCGACAGACGACTGTCACCTGGAGTGATGTAACGTCGAGGTCTCCGAGTCCCCCCATTCAAATCACTGCTGCTAGTCGGATCCAGCTCTTTGACTGGGTCGTCTGCTTTAGTGCCGTCACTTTTCAGGAGGTGGGTTTGTTCAAGAAGATATGAAATATTTAAAAGAAAAAAATAGAAGCAATTTTATCAAATATGCAGAATTGCTCAGATGAAAAAAGAAAAGAAAATTGAGTTGATTGCATGTGGAGTGCTGACAACAAGTGGTTGAATGAATTGCTTTAGCTAAAAGCTAAAAGGACCAAATTTTAAAATTAGCAACTCTAGCTATAAAGTAGCAAAAGTATAGCTTAAAGTGTCAAAAAGTACAAGAACAGTAAGTAAAAGCTAAAAGTGCTGGTTAGCAAATGTCTTGCTAAAAAACAAAAGTAGCAACATGCTAACTAAAAGCTACAATAGATTAGCTTGGATGAAGATATATTTTTTGAAGGAATCAAAAAATGGAGAATATAGTTGTAAACTTAAAWATTTTGAAAAGTACGATAAAAGTTACAAAAACCCAAAGCCATAGTACCCATTTCCTGAACAAGCTGAATCTTCAGATTTATAGATGTCCAAAAAAAGGCAGGTGGTTAGATCGCAAAAAATGTTTGAAGAACAACAGTGACAATGCTGAATCAGCATTTACACAAGGCTTCAAGCAACAACTTGTTTAAAGATTCGTACTATGAAGAGCAAATTATTTACAATAACATGCAGCAGCAAACCATCAAACAATAAGTTGATCGAAACACATTTCATGCAACATCAGTAGCCATGACCACACCAGGTTATTTACTTTGCTAGCTTTGTAACACGGAGCCCATGCCGGTGAACCTACAACTCCGGTTTCCTGTTGGCATTCTCCAGGTAAGAGTGTCGCAGCCGTGCCACTGACACCCTTGTATCCAGGGTGCCCGTGTCCCCGTTAGCCACTCCTGGTGGGGGCACCATCCTGGGCGCCTCTCTGCCGGCCCCCTGTCTCTCAGCGCGATACATGGCAGTGTGTTGGCTTAGACCAATGTCTGACATGGAGCGTGTTCGGATCTTGGGTTTGGGCCCTCCACTGACCTCCATGCTTCTGTGTTTGGCCTGAGGCAAAGAGGAGCCCTTTTGAAGGTAGGMRACGGAGTCAAACCTCTGSTGTGACGGCGCWTGTTGCTGCTGCTGATCGTTCGGAGGGTCCTGATGTTTTATTTCTTGCTGTTTATCTGGGGTCTTATTTGTTCTCCAGTCATACTCGTGTCTTTCTTGAGATGGTCTCTGGTTTTCTTGTTGCAGTCTCAAATGATGGRGATGCTGTTGCCTTGGAGGTTCCTGCAGAATGTGAGCTGCATGTTCTGTCCTTCTAACTTCGTACGGTTGCTGCACCAGGGATTCATGTTGCTTTGTGTTGGGTTCTTGGTGGTAAACCGGCTGTATGGACTGATCCTGCCTTTGCTGCTGGTGCACAGAGGTATGCGAAGGCTGCATGGATCTAAAAACTCTCTCATCTTGGTTGTCGTGACTGGAGAGGTGTTCTCTTTCTCTTTCTCTGATCCTCTGGACAGTTCTCTCCCTCCCTCTCTCCCTTGGCTGCTCTCGATCCCAGTCCTCCTCTCCGTGACTTCGCCTCCTCTGCTCCGGACTGAGGTTTTGCAAGTCCATCTCGTCCAAACTCTTCTCCCTTTTACGAATCTCTGAGGGCAGCACTGCCTTCCTGCTCTTCAGCAGACCCTCCGTGTGGGCTTCTTCTTTTAGGGCCTGCCTTGCCTCCAGTCTTGCCTCTCTGTGGGTTGCATACATCTGGTCGGCACTCACTTTTCTTCGTGGTTGGACCTCTGGCGGGGGTCCTTTGGCAGTTGATGGAGCGACCATAGCAGCAGAGTGTTGGTGCTCAGAGGTCGTGTGAGCATGATGGTGAGCCGGACTTGGCTGAGGTTGGTGAACAGCCCTGTGTTGGGTGTGCTCTGAGGGGTGTGTGGCGTACTGAGCAGCGCTGCCATGACTGTGACGCCTGTTYGCCTGCTGCCTGTCTGGACTTTGGTCAGGGGGCTTCTGGAGTGTCTCGTCCCTGGACAATCGATCCCTTGCTCGGATTCTTGGAGAAAAGAATGCACACGAGACACTAAGATTCCACCTCATTACAAAAGAMGCACAACCCCGTTTAACCTCACAACTCAACTCTCACAAACGCCAACATTAAGAGGAAAGTTTTTTTATTTTTAGAAGCTCACATCCTTACTGTGGTTCTGCCTGGACAAAACGCTTGTCTTGCAAACCTGGAAAAAAAACTGGAGGACTATTTCGGGTCAAAAAAGCGTTGAATTTAGATATTGCCCTAAGGTTATTATGATCCCCGCATCGCTTTTTTAATTTATTTATTTTTTCTGAGATTTATAGTCAACCATAGCACGAAAACGGCTGCACTGATCACCGTGAAATTTGSCAGGAATAGAGATGTGTCCGACCTTCACTGCGCCAACAGTTTTACGATAGACCCCTATTTGAGGAGGGGCTTCATCTGAAAATGGGTGTCTGGACCAACAGAAATGTYATAACTCAAACATTATTCAACATAGGAGCTTCAGATWATTTTTGGTTGTTGTTTAGCTCTGATGAAGGGCTATCCATGAATCCACCAATGAGCAACACACACCCCCTCTGAACCCCCCACCCAAAACATCAAATCTATTCTGGTGACTTCTGAGTTCTGGTGCATTGGTGGTGTACGTATGTGCAGGGGTCATATATGATACTGCTAAGTGGTGTCTAGTTTAATAAAATGTTGCACTGATTTGTTTTAAGACAGTTTGTTTTTGTTTAGATGGGTGGAGAAGGTTCAGATGCCACTTACGGCCCGTGGACYTTATTTTTCCATGTAGAAACTAAGACTTTGAAATTAGAAAGCTAAATCCAAACAATAATCAGCTCTGTTCTGTTTTCATCAGTCAGGGAAAACAACATCAATACCCAGAGCTCAAATATGCAAAAAATGTTCCTAATTTCAGTTTTCTGCTTGCATATKTAAAATCTCACTGAATCCTGCTGCACTTTGTGAAACGCTTGAAAGAAAAGTCTGCAACTTTAGACCCTCATGGGACCAACTTCAGCTCCTAAATCCTGCTCCGGTACAACAAGATCAAGTAGCCGCATGCCACGAGCTTCAAGTTTGAGTAAGTCCAACTATTTTCATCTCTAACCTCATGACCTCCGGTAGTCAAAGGCTGCTCTAATCTTGTTGTACGCCGCTAAGCCAGGCAAAGTTGATGGACATTGGCTTTATCTGAAATGGCACSGAGTACTTAAACAGCACTCATGCTTCACGCTAGAGTAATCAGCTGATAAGACCGTAAGGAAAAGTTACCGCTGGTGGCCTAGAGAGGAATATCACTTTAACACTTTAAACATTACGCTGATCAAACGAGTAAAAAATCACTTTCTGCAAGAGCTTATTTTGGAAAAATCAAAACCAGGAAGGATGTAAAGAAGAGCCATTTGAGTGCAGCTTTGCTTCATGCGAGTTGAGTGGGCCGATGAGGGTTTGGATCTGAGTAACGTTGTCACCCCATCAACTCTAAAAGCTTTCAGCTGTTCATCATGAAACACACAGAGCAACACGAGTTTAACAAACGATGATGCACCGGTGGAAAGCCACCAGTTTTACAGAGAGTTCTGGATATTTTTAGAAACAAAGAGAGCTGATACATCAACTGGGTCAAGGAGGTATGTTTATAGAACTCTGTGGTGTGTGTTCGAYGCTTGTTTTTGCACTTTCACATCTCTTTCCAGACTAGAATTTAGACGAGGGATGGACGATATGTTGGCATTAGCATGGGTATCGGCATGATAAGGAAACCTGGGACAGTGTTAAYGTCCGATATTGATTTCCCACTTGTTGCAGTTTGTGTTTCTGTTTTCGGAGGGGAAATGTTTGGACATGTGGTCTCTGTCTGTGATAATGATGCTGCACAGTCAAGAATAACTGGAATAGAGAGCCATGTCAGAGGTCTGGTCGTTTTTTTATGGTATCAAAAAAAGGCGCGTGTGTTTGTGTAATATCGATTGTCGGCCATAACAGGAATATTAATAGCAGATGTCGATATCGGCCGAAATTTTCATATCAGTGCATCCCTAATTTAGACGTTCCATCAAACACTAAAGTAACTACATACAAGTTACTATTTGCTATAGTTGGCAAAACCCTAAGCAATGATGACAGGTCAAAATTAAAAAGGAAAGATGAGACCTTTGGTTGAAGTCATCTTGAAACGATATTAGCTTGTTTCTTTGTGACATCATACCTTTCCCCTAAATAAATACATTTTTATTATGCACTCAAGAAACAGATCATATATTTTTTTTTAGGTCCAAAGCTGCAAATGCAACAAACACAATTTATATGTTAGTGTGGAGGGGATCTGAGGTTTTACGGAAAAGACACAAGATTTTCAAAGTAAAAGAACAAAATAAAAAAGTGGTAAGTTATTTGTCAAAGATATGGATGAATGTTTGTGAGTTCAGAGAGATTAAAATATGAGCAGCACACAGTTAATATTATAATAAATAATTATAAAACTGATTTAATAGGAAGAATTAGCTGTTTGTCCACCAGGAACATGTTCTAAAATGTTTTAGGTTTGCAGAATAAGGCTGAATTGTTGATTTAAAATAATTCTTGTACAGCTGGAACTTTTTGTTTTAGTTTCACGAGATTAAAAGAACATCTCAGTCTGAGCGGTTTGCAGTTTGAAGGAGYAACGGTTCTGTGAAGGGTCCCAGTTTAAAACACATGTACCCGGTGGACCTCAGGTCAGTGATGGGGTTTCACTCACAGTTCTGCATGTTCAGCGTACCTGAAAGGCCAACTGGAGTCTGTCTGAGAGTCGCTGTCTGAGTCTGTGTTCAGACACCAGTCGCTCTTTGACAAGGCAGCCAGGCTGCAGGGGGACAAGGTGAGACCCCCSGAGGGAAACTTAAAACCATCTCACCACAGATACGTGGGCTTGTCTACTTAAAATCCCAACCTTTTTTTTTTGAGCTGCAGCTTGAATCATCTTTCACGTTTGTCTCCTGAATCAGAAGCCTTAAACTTCACTATCTAACCTCTTAACCTGCAACGTTTTTAAATACTGTCTGTGTGTTGATTTCCTTCCTAAAATAGAAATGATTGAATGAATCAAATTTTAGGACAGATTTAAAACAACTTGTAAATAATGTGGAAACAAGCTTGATTAAGATTCTGTTTGAATAAATGGAAAATAAAACAAACACAACAAATTTTTACATGTAAAACAACCTGATACTAAAGAAAAAAAGGGATAGTTTCAGAGTTGTAAAGTAACTAAGTACAAATACTTTGTTTCTGTACTTAAGTAGAAATTTTGGTTATCTGTGCTTTACTTGAGTAATTATTTTTCAGTGTACTTTTTACTTTTACTCGTTACATTTTTTACACAATTATCTGTACTTTCTACTCTTTACATTTTTTAAAAAGGTAAGAAGTAGAAAGTCATTACTCCTAATTTAGTCCGAGTTATGTACAATCCTGATAAATTGTGTCTCCTGGATCAAGTAAATTGAATTGTATTTAGATGATAAGTACCAAATATATACCATTCTGACACCATACTAGCTTGTACATAATCCATCACAGCTGCACGCCGTTAGAAAAAAATGTTTTTGGGGAGGTCACCTCCCAATAAATGTCATTTAGGAAAATCTAACTGCGCACTTTTACTCAGTACTTTTACTTTTATTACTTAAGTACATTTTGTGTCAGAAATTTACTTTTGATAAGTTAAAAAATATCAGATACTTTGACTTTTACTCAAGTAATGTTCTTAGAGAAGACTAACTTTTACCAAAGTATTTTTATGATAAGATACTTGTATTTTTACTAAAGTATCACTTTCAGGTACTTTATACAACACTGGATATTTTCTTTTGAGATGTGTTGCTGCCATCAAATTCAAACTTATCTTATTTTTTTATCCTAAAAAATGTAATTACTATTTTTTCATTGTGAATCAAAATGGTATTTTGTTTTCATTTACATTTTATACACAAAACCTTTTCAGAATTGTGGTGTAAATATATTTACTTAGTGCCCCCCTTAGTTTGAAAAGAAATAACTAAGTGGACATTTAAAACTGATAAAAACAAATGAAAAAGCTTCATGTTAAATGTATCAGGTTTTGCACACTCACCCCTGCCTGTTGAGGATGCTCTGGGCCTGCTGCTCTATAAACAGATCTCCAGGTGAGATGCCGTAGCGTGTGGAGGGTAGGGATGCTCGGCGGGTGGAGCGAGGAGAGCTCGGCACGGCCGCGATGCTGTACTCTCTGGTGGGGGCGGGGCTTGGCTCCTGGTGGTGCGTGTGCTGTTTTTGTTGAGGCGGATGCTGCTCCTGCATCCTGGGTCTAGACGCGGCGGAGCGCTCCTGAGCGCCACCTCGGCGGWAGTTCTCCATATTCATTGCTCTTTCCCGCTCTGAGAATCTGCTAGGCCTTTCTTGGATTGTGGGAGGGGCTTGATGCGAGTGGGCGGGGCTTGCTGTGTCAGCAGGTGCGGGATCTGGTTCTGCGTGTGTCGTCATGTAAACCCTGCCCACTCCAGAGCGATACGGCACCTTGGGGTCTCGTCCTTGTGTTTCTGTTCGGTCTCTGTCCCGCCTGGCAGCGGTTTGTCGCTCAGAGGTGTCTGCGTCCCGTTTGGACCGGTAGCGGGGTGTGTAATCTGTGTCCGCCTCCTGATCCAGGAGGATGCCATAACGTTCCGACAGCTGGCGGCGGCGCTCAGCCTTATAGCGGGCGATGCGCTCAGCCTTCGATGTGAGGCTAGCGGACTCTGCAGGATCGGATGAGGGCGTCGAGGCGGTGGACAATGTTACTGGGTCAACGTAGACCACAACTGGTTCTGGGCGACCAGGACCAAGTCCACCTTTAACCTGAGGTGATCTGTCGGGAACCAAGACTTTCTTCTGTGGTGGCTCCGTGTCCTCTCGGCTATAGCGCCTCACTGTGGTGAAGAATAAGAYGTAAACAACACAAGAAGCAGACGTTTAAAGTGCTCAAAAATGTGCTGATATAAAACTGAAAGCATCATCTGCATTACTAAGTTAAATGTGTTTACGTCAATTTAAATCCTTTTTTACAGTGCAGCTTGCAATGCTTACCCATCCCCCGAGGTTCACAGGGGTCTGAGGCGCGGGTGTACCGCGGCGGGTCCTCCTCCAGCATCCTGTTAGACACGAAACCRCCGGGCACCAGAGCGGGTGGCGCTTCGCTTTCCATGGCCTCAAGTCGCCGGGCTATCCTCTCTTTTCTGTCAAGGACAAAAATCGGAGTTAACAAAAGAAAACACACAAAGTACAAACGTGTTTAAATGTCAACTAAATGTACCTGTTCATTTCAGAATCCTTGATTACGCCTCTTTCGAAAAATTGTTTCAGTTCTGACACTAAAAACCACAACAGAAACAAAATGACAATCAGATACAGGGTGCCAAATGTAACATAAAAAGGTTTTAAAAAGTCACTAACATATTTTTGTTATTTAGCTTTTTTTTAGCATAAAACCCTCTTTAAAATACATTTTATTGTTATTTAGCTCCCTGTTCTTACATTTTGCTAATTTTACTAGGGATGCCCGATATATCGGCACTACTATCGGTATCGACCGATATTGGTCATATTTTAGAACATCGTATCGTCCGGTATGTAAAACTGGGCCGATATTAACGTCCAGTATTGATTTCCCGCTTTTAATCTTTGTGTTTCTGTTTTGAGAGGGGAGACAATTGGCTGAGCAGCATCTGTTTGATCATGATAGTGATATTGATGCTGCGTAGCCAGGAATAACTSAAGCAGGGAGCCATGTCAGAGCTCTGGTTGTTTGTTTACGATATCAAAATATACCAAAGTGTGCTTATGCGTATACGTATAATGTAATTTGTGTGTTTGTGCAATATCAGTAAGTATCGGTTATCGATCATAACAGCAATAATTATATCAGATATCGACATCGGCTGAAATTTTCCTATCGGTACATCCCTAATTTTTTGCTAAATGTTAAATTTAAATGTTAAATATAAACATTAAATCTTAAATATAAATGTGTAAATCCAAATGTAAAAATTAAATGTTAACTGATAAAGTTTACATTTAGGAATTTCAGAATGGAACGCAGCCTTTTCTGTTTGTATGTGGCGTTTGTTGTGATGTCATCATCCTGCGACAAAGTCTAACACTGCTAATGCTAATGCTGTTAAAGATCGAATTTAACATTTAAATTCTAAATGTGTTCACTGAAAACAATACGTATGGAACCCTCAACTGCAAGGTTTGATGTCTTGTAAGGAAGTGTTAGCAGCATTAGTAATGCTAGCWGCGTTAGTAGCATTAGCAGCGATAGCGGTTGTTTTTGTTTCAGGATGCTGACATCCTAACAATAGCCACATATAAACAGCAAATGTTGCATTCAGATCTAAAACACTTGAATGTAAATTTTAACATTTAGCCACAACATTTAAGATTTAACTTTTACATTTAGATTTAGTATTTATTATTTAGACGTAACATTTAAATTTAACGTTTTGAAATAATTAGCAAAATCTAAAAGGAGTGAGCTAAATGACAATAAAATGTTAGTGGAAATTTTTTAACTAGGTTTTTCCACTTGGCGGCTCATAATACTATTTGCTTTATTCTGTGTTATTGTCACACACCTTTGGGAAGGACAACCAGAAGTTTGGCATCTGTATCTGAAACACTCTTGACCAAAGAGGTCTTGTCTTTCAAGAAGTCACTCTGAAAACTGAAATGAAACGACAGAATCAAATCATCATTTACCATTAGTTCAAACTGTTTCAAAATGTGATCTTTGACAATAAAAACTCCTAAACGACCAGTAATTAAAGACAAACAAAGATCCACATTTATTCAGATAGTCAACACAACTTCATTGACTTGTCTTAGAGCGGTGACAGCAGTTAAAGGTGAAGTTCAGCTGGTGTTGCTGCTATCAAGATCTAAATTAGGAATTAAGTCAATAAATCCTGTCAGTGGAAACAGGAAGTTAAGGTTAGGCAGCATCACACAGGTCAGGAAGAGCAACTCACCCCAGTTTTTTTCTAAAGCTTTCAAATAAAGTTTCAACTTTTTTTTAAACTGTAAATTGAATATGTAACAACCAGTTGTAAACTAATGCACAACAGAAGTATTATTGCTGTAATTCTAGTATCCCAGAATAAGGTGCTTTATGTTCATATACAGATATAAAATGACTGTCTGCTGTTTCACTTTATTTGTTGCCTGTTAGGACAAAGTTTAATCATATAATTTGCGTCAAAATAAAAAAAAGTCTCTTTTTTCAGATTCCATGGCATGTCTAAACTAAAGACTTAACATTTCCTCACTCACCTTAAAGTTTCTGTTGGTAATGAAGTTGAGGTGCAAAGTCTGGATTTGAATTCTAAAAGAAACAAGACAAAAGTATGTTTTATTAAGAATAAATATCCACTTCATCAATGCTGACGTTTATACTGAATTTGCTTTCACTTTCTGTATCTCCTCTTCCATTTGGGACTAAAATACAAGCACAAATTTAAGCCACTGTTTCCACAAAACTCCACAAAAGATCAAACCTAATGTAATGACTTTAGTGTCTCATACACAATTACACATACAAAAGCCTCTTAAGCTGCATTTTATATAATCATCACTGACTGAAATAACATTTTTTATTTAATACAGACAGCTGAGGCTTGCAAACTCATGTCCAGGTTTTCTACAATGTTTTGAAGTGCCTCCGACATGCATATTCTTCAAATACAAAAAGTAAAAGAAAGCATCTTTATGTTTAAGTAACAAGACATATTATAAATGATTTTACCCATTTTGTCCCGTAAATGACATRTTTTCTTTTGAATTTGGCACAGCCAACATGAAACAGGAAGTGACATCAAAGGCGACATTCCCCTTTGACATCACTTCCTGTTACTTCACATGCAAATATCTCAACAAGTGTTCATCCCAGCAGCGTGAAATTCTTTTTGCATCATGTTATTAATGTTGTTTTTCCAAAAATGCATTCATATTTATTGCAAAAATTTGAAGTCACAGGCACTTTAAATTCAACTGAAGCACTACAAAAAAGCAGCGCAAACCCTTGATCAACTCTCAACTCTATTTCAGCACAAATTAAGCAGTTTAAAGCAAATATAATCTWCTAATTTCATGGTGATGCATTTCTGTACCGTGTAAATAATTAGCAAGAACAATACATAAAGACTTTTCCTAAAAAAAGCTAATCAAGAGAATCTGCAGTGTTTCAGCAAACATGTGATGTTTAGTTCTTATGAGACAGTCAAATGTTATTAGGAGCCAACATGAAGCAGGTTCCCAGCTGATAAAGTTGACCCTTTTGCTCTTGTGTCACGGCAGAGAGACGGATCAGGTTTCTGCTCGACGCCTCCAGAACGCCTCGGACTAATTTCGGCCTCCAGTGACCTGGTAGCAGAACTCTGAAAGCTTCAGCGGCGCAGAAACGAAGCTGAATCCCGACAAACGCAGCCGAGAGAGCGATCAAATCCGACACTTTGTTCTGCACCTCTTCGCTCAGAGTTTTCTTTTTCTGAAAGCACAGATCCTGCTCTGAAATTTACATTTCCAGTTGTAGCAAATGCCAAATCATTTGCATTTTTTCTTTTCCTCCATCAATAAAGCTGATTGTGGCCTGAGGTGTGAGAGCATGTAGCTAAACATACTTCCTCTGGTGGAAAGCCCCTAAATTTGTGCAGTCAGTTCGGCTGTCCCTGGAAACGCCTGCAGCTTGCCAACAAAACAAAACGGTGCAAGGCTCGAGGCTGGAGAGCAATTTAAACTCCTGACAACCTGAAAGTCTGAGTGGGGATGAGGAGGGTTTTCTAAAAATATCAAGACGTGCAAAACAGACTGGCTGAGCTTACATGAAAAACTCTTCTTTAATGAAACATGTTTTTCTAAAATGACCTTTATTTATCTACCTAATTATAGCAACAACTTCTTGATAAATTATTAGCATCCCAAAAAAATCTTTAAAATACATTAAATCATTTGACACAATTAGAATCCCACTGAATAAATAAATAAAAACATTACAACATAAACCTAACCTCAGCAACATTTTACACTGGATATATATATATAT